TGCGAGAGTGAAGCCCGGCTGTAAAACGGCAGTGATGGTCGGTGTCGCCGGGCGCCCCGAGGGAGCGGTGCCAGCAGCACCGATGGGGTGGCGGCTTTTGCCCTCGGTGTGCGGGCGGCCCGGGCAGGGCAGGGAGAGGAGAGGACCTTGTTGATTGCCCGCCCCACGCCGAGGGTGCGGTAGTGGGGCAGACTGGAGCGAACCCAGCCAGCAGAACGGGGGTAGGACCCCGCCGACCGCAGCACGGAGAGCACCGCGGGCGCCCGTCTGCCCTCCCTGTCCTGCGGGTTGCACCACGGTCGTATGGAGGCTGCAGGTGTGAAAATCCGCCATCCCTGCAGCGGGTCATCCTTGCTGGAGCTGTTAATTTTCTCCTCATTCTGTCTCCCCAGGCTACATCATCCTGGAAGTTACCCCAAAAAGGCAATTCCCATGGGCCCTGTGGCACAGTGTCTTTTGGTAGAAACCCCTCCCAAGCGTAGAACGATTCCTCCTAGGATGGCTGTGACATCCTTTTCCTTCCTAGGAGCTTCTGCTCTGAGTAGGTGGCATTTCCCTCCGGAGCTCCAGGCACAGGATGGTGCTAAAGGTTATTTTCCTGCTGGTAAGCTGGCCAGTGTATGGCTTTGCCTGCCTTTGCATTCACCCTCTCCTCCTGCCAAGGCTGAGGCAATGACCATCGAGATGTTCCCTCTGGCAGTGTTGGCTGATGAATGCCAGCTGCTGATACTGACATTTAATATCTGTATGTGAGGAAAAAAGAGGATTCTCTCAGTCCTGAAGCGGTTATAGCAAAGGAATCAATTCCTTTGTGCTGTATGGGCAGTGCCAGAAGCTTTCCCACTTCGATGCATGCGGCTGAAGTAGCAGCGATGAGGGACAATAACACCCACAGGGTTGGTAACACCTCTCCCTGGAGACCCAAGAAGAATTTCCCTACCAGTTTAAAGTGGCTCTCACTTTAGAGGTTGTACGTATTTATCTTTGAGAAGAATCTTCTTTTTACTGAAAACTGGGGCTTACACACTGTAATTTTCCTCGAATTTAGCTCTAGACTCGTGTCTCCTGTGTCACATTCCTGCCAGCACACTGATGAGGCCGTCTGCTTCTAAAGAGGTTGTGTTGCTTAAAGCCACAGAAACAATAAACTCACTTGCAAACTAAGGCTGACTTTTTTTCCTTGTGAAAGGTTTGAAAGGTATGCAGGATTCTTATGTACTGAGTTATTGTTGTTGAAAGGGCATGTCATAATTTTAATTAGAAACCAGTAGTTTGAAAGGTTTAAAAGTATAAATATGCAAGATCAGACTGAAGCCTGGCATGTAATTTATAACATCATCGTGTAATTCTCATTAGGCTGAAAAGTTCTTTGTAGGTGAAGACAGGGGTAGTAGGTTCTCAGTACCTATGTATGTAGTCCTATAGTTCATAATTAGGCGTGCCCTGGGATTCCTATAGCATGCCAGCATAATTTGTAGCTGCAGCAAATTTTTCAGTAAACCATCTGTGGCCCAGGACTGTCCTCATGGTCAGTATCTAATACTTTTAAAGCCCCTTTATGGAGGTTTCATCAAATTACGGGGTGGTAAAAGGGAATTCACTCTTCCACTTCAGTAAACAGATGAAGTGCTGAGCATCGAATCAAATTACGTTTATTGTTCTTCTCACAAAGCATAGCCATATCATAAATACTGGGGTAAATCCCTCTGTTTTACTTAGATCTTGTTTCAGTTTCACTGAAGATTGTTGGCTTGGCTATGGTAGGGAGGACTTGGCTCAGGAGTAATGATAAAATTATCCATCCATGGTATTTAACTTGGTGACCTATTACAGCAATGAATTCTATAGTCAGGACATGTGCTACATAAAAGTATTTTTTTTAATTTGCTCTAAATTTATTGCTGCCTGATTTTATTATTGTTCTCTCTTTCTAGGGTAAGAAGGAGAGCTGAATGACTTTTTATGCTGACCTTCTAAAACTGAAGTGTTTCAGCCAAAATGCCTTAACCAATGTCTTTTGGCTGTTTTCATCTTCCAGTTTAGTGGCCTTCATCTTGCTATCACACTTGTGTGAGTCAGGCCTTTTACATAAAGCACATGGGATAGTCTCTTGCAGAGACATTGAATTACAGCATTATGTCTTAACTCATGTTGTAGAATTACTCTGATCCATATAGTGCATTTAAAATTACTATATTTAAAAATACACCTAAATATATGTTCTTGTTAGGAAGGCATTTATTAGGTAGTAAATGTAAAAGTAAGTACACAATAAAATTCAATATTGAAAGAAAAATAAAAAGAACAGGAATAAGTTTAAAATTGAACTGTAAGTCTGAACTCAGACGTATAAAACTACATATATGCTTAGATATCTATTTTCTGAGCAGCCATGGATATGGATGGACAGCTTCAGCAGATGAGTTTGGGCACACACACCTCCTGGATTAGCAAGCTTACAGAAGATACTGCTTTTCTGTTATGGTACATTATCAAAAAACAACCTCCCTAGAACTCAGCTGGCAATTATAGCTGCTACAGCAATACAGATTGAAAATAATACCAATAAATAGTTTGAGTCTGTCTAATAATGTACTTTTTGTGTATATTTAGCAGTAGGACAAATGAAGCAGAGCACTGCTCATCCTGAATAATGGTGGCATCTAGATCCAAGTTCTAATGATAGTACACTGAATAGTCATTTGTTTTATGTATATAAAGCCAGACTCTAGAGTGGATATCATTGATGAGTTGCAAGCACAACTGTGGGTTCCTCAGAAACTTCATGGACTTCTTGCTAATGTCTAGAAAGTATGCAAGATATTCAGAAATGACAATTTGAAATCTTGCCCTGAAGTTAGGGAAACTAATTTAGCTATCAAAAGATGTTGTTTCTGGTGCTGGATATTAAAGCTGTTTCTTAGGTGGAAGATGAAAACAAGTAGAGGCAAATTAACAGTGACTAAAGCTGAGGTCTAATAAAAACAGTTGGAGTTAAATAAAAAGACAAAAGCAAGCTAAGTGGAAAAAAAGCTAATACTTTCTTCACATTAATAAATTTTGGTTTTGATAGCAAATAAATTCCCAATTTTTACAAATAAGTCTTTATTTGATAAGAATCGAGCTTTTCCACTGGTACTAGCTCATGCTGCAAATATCTGCTTTGGATGCCATATCTGCATTCTAGGGAGTATTTTATTCCACAGCTTGCAGCAAGGTGTAAAGCAAGTTGCTCTTCTCCTTAAGGGGAGGGCTGCTGTCTGTCCTCTGTTCCCCAGAGGCTTTTTCACTTCAGAGTGGTGCCTGAACTGGTGCCTCAGCAGGGTGAGGATTGCCAGGGCTGGCATCTTCCAAGGGGAAGGGAAAGACTGAGAGGGAGGGAAATAACAAATAGCCTTGGTTCCAGGAGCCATGGGCAAGCAAAGGAGGAAGAGGAAGGTTCATGATCAGAGACACAGTAAGGTAGTAGGTCTCTGAGAAGGGTAGACATGGGGCAGATAAGAAAGTTTAGAGGAACGAAGGGGCTTAGATGCAGTTGAAGACCCAAGCTGATTTAGACTGGGGTCTCAACCTGAGCAGTTGTCCCTGGCTGTGGAACATGGGGAGGTGGGAAGGCATGGGGATGGGAAGGAGGCCCATCCCAGCTGAGAAAAGCAGGTGGCTCTCTTGCCTGTGCCTCGGGGGTCTGCATGGCCCATTGCCCCCTGGCAACTGGCCACTGCTTGCTCCGTGGCCATGGGCAACCTCTACCTATACAGCAAGGCTGACAAAAAGACAGTGAGCCTCCAATGACTTAGGGCCCACATTGGGCTCTTGCTGTTCCCTCATTTCTTACTACTCATCTCCTTCAACCTGCTTGAAAGCACAAGTCTTTTAAAGTGTTTCAAATGCAAGCATCCTGGCCTTAAAGACATCCCTGGTAGTGTAATTTGACATAAATGGCGGGGGGATGTTGTTGGGCAATTGATAATATTTTGTATAATCAGAAATAGAAATCATAATCCCCCAAAGATGTTTAATAATTTAAAGTATTCAGAACTCAATTAAGGCTATTAAGAGATTAGAAATTAGATTAAAGGTGGCTAAAGGGTAGAAATTCAAGGACTTCAAACACCTTTTGTAATACAAAGGCTCTTAAAAAATGAAAACGCTGAGAATTTCCCCAGGAAATTCCTATCATTTTAATTAGGTTTCTTCATTTAAAATAAAAAAAAATCCACACAATTT